TCTGAGAATAGGATCATGAGCAATTACTAGCCTATTCGATGAAGAACCCCACGAAATAGGCTAAAATTCAGAAAAAGTTTGAAAAAGTCTGAAAACTCTGAGAAGTCTTTCTAATTTTTTTTTAAATTATTTTTATTTTTTTGAAAAGGTCTGAAGAACCTTGGAAAAATATGAGAGCAGAGGGTAAAAAATGACCCCATATACCTTTCTCGGCCTTTTGGCTAAGATCAAGTGTAGTATCTGTTCTTATCAGTTTATTGGGCCTCGCTGCACTACAGTAACTCTCCAAATGTGCAAAACGAGAGTGAATCTTCCGCTAGAACATGGAAAAATACAGTGCCATGATTTTTGTCTGTTGTGCATGTCGAGAGTAGTGCAGCGAACTAACACTGGTGGGGGAGTTAAAAGAAAAAAAAAAAAAAAAAAAAAAAAAAAAAAAAGAGAGAGAGTAGTGCAGCAAGGCCCAATATCTGATCTGTCGTCCATTGGGCCACTACGATATTAAAATGACCCCACCTACTATCCAAAGATCCCCCCCTCAACAGACGGAACGTCAGTCCAGGCTTTCAGTCCTCGTACCAGAACTCACTTGATCTCATACCCCCTTCTGCTAGGGTAACCGGGCACCAGAACCTTCCCTGGTACTGACCAACCTAGTTCGGAAGGACAGGAAGTGCCTTCCTCCCTTGACATTTCCCTTAGCGGCAAGCCCCTGACACCAGGTTACAGGGTTAATACCCCGGCGCCGGCTACGTCGGGCGGTCTGGTTATGCCTTCCACCCTCGGCATAACTCCACAGGCCTAGCGGCGTGTCGGCTGCACTTTTGCTCGTTCCGTCCGTCGCCAGACTTTCCCACGACGCTGCGGCTAAATTTAGACTCCGCTTCTCTTGTCGGGTACCAGGCCTGTCGGACTCCTAACGACCCTAAACCTTCTGTCGGCCTACCGGACTGCACCAACCTACGTTTCCTAAGTTCGGCACTTCAGCCTCTGGGCCTGCCGAGTCAGTTACTTTTTTTAGTGGGACTGGGACCATTGGGACTATGGGACCGGGACTCGGGATATGGACTGTGATGTGAGATCCTTTCAGCTCATGTCGTCAATATGCGCTTAACATTTATCATCACTGCTGCTGCTGTTCTCTCTCTCTCTCTCTCTC